ACAAACAAAAAAAAAGTGCCTCCTTATTGATATGGCAGTCCCTGCTGACTGCAATGTATCTTTGAAGATATTTAAATAAAAGCTGTCAAAATACAAGGACTTTGAAATCGAAATCTCGAAAATGTGGCACATGGGAACATCAACAATCCCTGTTGTAGTTGGAGCCCTAGGATTCGTTGGAAAAGATGGCAGTAGACTAATTGAAGGGATTCCTGGAAGTCCATGCTTCAAAGAAATACAAAAATTGTTCTGACAAGTACAGCCCACACTTTACGAAGGGCTTTATCTATGTAATTTTTTTTTTTTTTTTTTTTTTTTGCAGTGGAAAGTGTCATGATGCCATTTCTGACCTTAGGTCTCTGGTTGGGACCCTGAAAGAAATGCGTACACACCAGAAACCAAAGGAAATAATAATAATAATAATAATAATAATAATAATAATAATAGTGGAATCATCTATAGCAGTGTGGAATCATACAAAATAGTGTGGATCAAATATTCAGATTCTATGACAAATATCAAGAAATTTAATCTCAGGATGTTCTGTATTTGCGCCAAATTAATATAAAAATCGTCACGGTAGAGTAGAGTAATATTTACACTGGACAATTTGCAAACACTTTGGAAAAGATGTTAACAAAACGGGTGAGAGCATCACCCAGCAGCGATTACAGAACTTGAAGACACCACAATTCTATGGGATTGCCCTATCTTTACAGACAGGAAAACTGAAGCAAATAGGCCGGACATAATTGTCAAAAACAAAAAAGAAAAAAAAAAAAACAAACTTGCCTACTAAATGATATGGTTTACACAGCGGACTGTAATATAGCAACCAATGAATTTGAAAATCTATCGAAGTATAAAAACCTGGAAATCAAAATAGAAAAATGTGTAAAACAAGAATAGTATCAGACATAGTAGGTGCGCTTGGAATGATAAAAAAGGAACACAACAACACATTGAAAAAAATCCCTTTGAATCCAAGCTGAAGAGAAATACAAAAATATCTTGATAAATACAAGCTACATACTAAGAACGTTCTCCATGTAACACTTGTGATGCTATGAGAGTTAGAAAAAAATCATGAAATACAGCCATAACAACACCCCACTACCTGTTTTAGGTTTTCCCTAAGACTTGTTAGGTAGTAAGACCCGAGCAGAATGGTTTGGTTTGTTTTGATTTACACCATATCAAACACAATGGGTTTATTTAATGCCGACAAGATTTTTATGGCTGGTAATATTTTTTTTTCAAAAATATAATTTTGGTAATATTTTTTTCAAAAATATATTAATGGTATTTTTTTTCAAAAATATATTAATGGTGTTTTTTTTTAAATAGTTGGTAATATTTTTTTTCAAAAATGTATTTTTGGTAATATTTTTTTCAATAATAATTGCTGGATTAAAACTTAATTTTATACATTCTTAATGTCTTGACCCCTTTTTGGCGGGATAACTACTTGTCCATAGCAGAGACCCTGACAGATTTTTCCACCACGGGTCAAGGTGGACCTGGGAACACCAGCAATTAAGAGGTGGTTCCATGCTCGTCAAAACCTCTTGAACAGAGGCCTTGCTCTCGGACGTAATTTATCGACTTACCGAGGACGCAGATGTAGTTTATCGTCTTTACCCAGGACGGGACCCTAGCAGAAATCGAAAGTTGATGATGTTGATGATGATGATGTTGATGATGATGATGTTGATGATGATGATATTAAACAATTGATTGACGTAATTCTTCCAATATTTTTCAACACCAGGATTTAAGAAAAAAAAAAAAAAAAAGAGAAAAAAATTACCGTGTTTGATAATGTTAAGCAATATTTCAACAGAATGTCTGTTTTATTTAAGTTATATTTAAATATTATTTCAAGTATGAAAATAGATAAATCTACAAACACTTACAACTCTCGCTGATAATCGACGATTGCAAAGTGGACTGCGCGTCAAGGCATGCAACTGAAATGTGCGTAATATGATGCTGATCGTGCTCATCTTGGATTTTTTCCGTTACTGGATTTGTTACTAAGAGGAATTAATCAAACAGTTTATTATAAATCTAATGGAACTCTCCTGTTATTCTTTTCATTCCCCGGGGCGTGATGTTAATAATTTGCATACATAACAAGCACCATTTGTACAAAGACATCATAATTTTGTAGATTTACATATTTTTATGCTTGAAATTTAAAAAAAATATAACTTGAAGACATACTGTCTAAAAATCGTTTAAATTCTCAAATCGCTCTTTTCACTTAACTGTTAATAATAATAATAATAATGATAATAACAATAATAATAATAATAGTAATAATAATAATAATAGTAGTAATAATAATAATGATAACAGCAACAATGATTTAATAATAATAGTAATAATAACAGTAGTAATAATAATAATAATAATAAAAATAATAATAATAGTAGTAGTAATAATAGCAATAATAATAATAATAGTAATAATAATAATAAAAATAATAATAGTAATAATAATAGTAGAAATATTAAACATAATAATAATAGCAATAACAATATTACTAAAAATAGTAATAAAAAAAAATAATATTAGTAGTAATAATAGTAATAATAAAAATAGTAATAATAACAGTAATAATAATAATAATAAAAGTAATAATAATAGTAGTAGTAGTAATAATAATAGTAATAATAATAAAAATAATAATAGTAATAACAGTAGAAATAATAGTAATAATAATAAAATAATAATAGTAAAAATAAGAAATATAATAATAATAGTAATAATAATAGTAGTAATAATAGTAATAACAATCATAGTAAAATAGTAATAATAATAAAAATAATAATGGTAGTAATAATAGTAATAATAATAATAGTAAAAATACTAATAATATTAGTAATAAAAAAAATAGTAATAATAAACAGTAGTAATAATAATAATAATAATAAAAGTAATTAATAATAAGTAGTAATAATAGCAAGAATAATAATAATAGTAATAATAGTAAGAAGGAAAATAATAATAGTAATAATAAAGGAAAATAAAACATGATAATAATAGCAATAACAATAATACTAAAAATAGTAATAATAATAAAAATAATAATAGTAGTAATAATAGTAATAATAAAAATAATAATAATAATAAAAATAATAATAGTAGTAATAATAGTAATAATAAAAAATAGTAATAACAATAAAAATAATAATATTAGTAATAATAGTAATAATAAAATAATAATAATAATAAAAATAATAACAGTATTAATAATAGTAATAATAATAAAAGTAATAATAATAGCAGTAATAATAATAGCAATAATAATAATAATAGCAATAACAATAAGAAGAAAAATAATAATAGTAATAATAGTAGAGATAATTGTAATAATAGTAAAAATAATAATAGTAATAATAATAAGTATAATAATAATAATAGGAATAATAATAGTAGTAATAATAGCAATAACAATAGTAGTAAAATAGTAATAATAATAAAAATAATAATAGTAGTAATAATAGTAATAATAATAATAGTAAAAATAATAATAATAATAATAATAATAATAATAATAATTAAAATCTTCTCACTTGCTATCGCATGCATCATCCCAAAGCTGATGTCGATCGTCTGTATGTGCCCAGATCTGAAGGAGGCAGAGGATTAGTTCAACTAGAACTGTCCTACAAAACTACAACAATTGGCCTCCAAAGATATTTGGAAACTACAGAAGACTGGATGATGGTATGCGTCAAGGAACATGAAAGTAGTAAGCGTCTTTACTCCGTAATAAAAGAAGCCAACAAATTCAAAATGGAGTTTCAAATGGGCGTAGAGATGCAACTACAGCACAATACACCGGCTGAAACTGCAAAATACCTAAAAAAGACAGCAAAGACGAATGCAACCGACCAGCTACAGAAGCGATGGCAAGATAAACCGCTTCATGGCCAATACTCTGCCCGTAACAAACAAGCTGACGTAGAAAAACCCGTACCCATCAGTGGCTACGTAGTGCAGGGTTAAAAGCGGAAATTGAAGGTTTTATCCTTGCTGCGCAGGACCAATGCTTGCTAACTAGGAATTATCAAGCACATATACTAAAATATTGTGTCAGCCCAAAATGCAGATTCTGTGATAAATATCCAGAAACGATTGATCATCTTGTATCAGGTTGTACGGTGTTGGCACCCACTGAATATAAAACCCGACATAACAGAGTGGGCCAATATCTGCACTGGAAAATCTGCAACTTCTACGGGAAGGAAACTGAAAGAAACTGGTATGAACACCACCCAGACCCGGTTACGGTGATAGGACCTGTTACAATTCTATGGGACTACACAATATACACTGACAGAACAATCAAGGCCAATCGGCCAGATATTGTTATTAAAGACCACAAACAAAAAAAAGTGCCTCCTTATTGATATGGCAGTCCCTGCTGACTGCAATTTACCTTTGAAGATATTCAAAAAGCTGTCAAAATACAGGGACCTTGAAACAGAAATCTCGAAAATGTGGCATATGGGAACATCAACAATCCCTGTTGTAGTTGTAGCCCTAGGACTGGTTGGAAAAGATTGCAGTAGACTAATTGAAGGGATTCCTGGAAGTCCATGCCTCAAGGAGATACAAAAAATTGTTCTGACAAGTACAACCCACACCTTACGAAGGGCTTTATCTATGTAATTTAATTCTTTTTTTTTTTCTTTTTTTTGTCAGTGGAAAGTGGCATGACGCCATTTCTAACCTTAGGTCCCTGGGCGGGACCCGGAAAGAAATGTGTAAACGCCAGAAATCAAAGAAAATAAAAATGATAATAATAATAATAATAACAAAAATATCCAGGTGTTAATATTTACATTTGTTTTTACATAGGAATATTTATGATGATATTCTGCACTCCAAAATCTGCTTATATCTGAAGATCAAAATACATATTTTGCGTGATGGTTACCTTTTCAATAATACGAGATTTCTCTCAGCAACCTAAAATTTAATTGGATATGAAAAGCCGACGGATATGCACGCAACCAAGTGACATATTTGTGATGTCTTTACCGCTAGGTGTCGCTGTAGAAATAGGCTTAATAGAAATAATATCGGAAATCTTTTCAGTCTGCTCATTTCTACCTGTCAATCTGTATATATGTCCATTTATCTATCTAATTCTCTCTCGCTATATATATATATATATATATATATATATATATATATATATTGCAAATGTCATTGTCTATTCACACATTTAAAGTATCGCTCCTTGTATCACTCTTAGATTTTTTGGGAATGAATATTTATTTGTCTGTGTCCCTAAGCTCTCAATCTATCCATCTATTTATCAAAACATTTCACTGTAATTGACATCCATCTATGCATTTTCTCTTTTCTCTCTCTCTCTCTCTCTCTCTCTCTCTCTCTCTCTCTATATATATATATATATATATATATATATATATATATATATATGTTATATCTATATCAATTCATATCTATCTGTCTATCTATCTATCTGTCTCGGTCTGTCTGTCTCAGTCTGTTCATATCTATCTATCTATCTAGCTATCTATCTATCTATCTATCTATCTATCTCGGTCTGTTCACATTTGTCATTCTATCTATCCCAGTCTCTTCATATCTATCTATCTATCTATCTATCTATCTATCTATATATATATATATATATATATATATATATATATATATATATATATATGTGTGTGTGTGTGTAGATATCGAACTACTCTCCCTTTACTCTCACGTTTACTATCTTGTTTTCTGGTTTACATGCTTTTCTAATCTACGGAATTTATTGTCAAATTCCAAAGATTGCTTAATTGACGCAAGGCATAAAACACCTGATAGGTCGCTATCATAATAATAAAGACCACCTGAAGAATTTTCTATATTTTATCATACACACGGTCATATACAATATTTATGATATATGATAAAATAAAGGAAAGCTGAACTTACTCCTTTTTACAGACGTCGTAAAGATCTTGAAAGCCCATGATTGCCGGTTCTGCACACTGAATTTTTTTTTTCAATTTTCAGTGTCTATCATCTAGGATTCCAAAGACATTTCACAGAGTCTAATGCTATATAGATTCTGATAATCACCTGCATTATGGATTTGATCAGTAAATCGACCCTTAAAAGATTTAATCTGAAAATTTCGAGTGGGCAAGTCTCTTCTCTCAGGTAGAAAAAATAAATACTAAATGATAGAGCATTGTTCTAGAATTCCATCTTGCATTATGTAACTTAGGTAGAAGTCACTAGTATGCAAAGGGTCAGAGAGTGTAAAACCGAAAGAAAAAGGCTGGGTATAAAGAAGGGGGTCTTAAGAAACAATAATTGAGGTAAGGATAAAAGATGAACGGGATTAAAGAAGAGAAGATGGCGATTGATGTTGCATTTAATTTTTTGAAGATTGTATTTATCAGGGAAGCAAGAAAACGGATGGGATTTACAAGGGCGGGGAGTGGATGTTACATTTAACTATTTTGAGAGTAAAATGGTGGAACACAGATGCCAATCTAGTAGCACGCTTAAATTCATGCAATCGGGGCATCAGGGAAAAAAGATCGTTAACTAGATTGCTAAATTAATTACTGTGGTAAGAAATCAAAATGAAAAAAAGGGCCAAGAAAAAAAATGTGCTTGCTTTATACAGCCGTGGACCGACCACAATTTGCATGCGAATGACGAAACAACGAGATTTCGCGTTAACTGTCCGAGACCGCCTGGCATAAAACATGGGCGCTGCCATTTTGGTTCTTTTTGCAACTGAGCAGCTGGATTTTGCACGACACACAGATTCGTGGGCGTTTCCGAGGTAAGCCGTTTTCACAATTTTCCCCGCAATTACAAATGGCATTTACAAAATATCGTTTGCAATCCTTTCATCCCAAGGAAGGTGATATAGTTACAAGGACGTTATGCAGTTTCTGGGTGTGAGAAAGAGTGAGAAAACATTAGTGAGGCGAAAGGACAATAAAACATCAGGTTTCCGGAAGACATAAGATATTGATTGGCCTTGCATTTAAATCTTTCAAGAAGAGATTTCCATAGGTGAAAAATAAGAAAGATAAAAACTATTAGCTTGAAATTTGCAATAGTCCCTAGCTAGTACAAAAGTAAATCAGTGAAACCTACTTGACAATCTTTAGTAGATTTAAATTCATGCAGTCGTGTGCACCAAGGAGAAAATCTAGTCAGTTAAGTTGCTATGAAAATATTTGTCGAAAAGACAGACAGAAGCCACGCCAAGTCGGTGAGAATTTACCTGAAGTCGATATACCAGGTCAGGATCGATAACATTGCAGATCCTACTTTGAATTTTATCGCTCCGGCCTTCTTTTTGAAATGTCGACCTGAACCCTTTATTTCGCTCACTGTTCTAGTGAGCGAAATAAATGGTTCAGTTCGACATTCCAATCACCTGAAGAAGGCCGGAGCGTACAACGGCCGAAACATTGTAATAAATATGGCGATAAAGATGAGGACAATAATCCGAATAATGTAAATAATGTACATAATACCTCATCTCAGAAATATAGACAGATAATAACAGTTTTGTTTTGTAGATACTAAAATTTACGAGCTGTTTCTTGCCCCAATTAACAAACTGCATCTAGAACTAATTTGTCACCTATTTTATTCGACAATGTCTCTTACTTAGTGCATTTCAGGATTTAAGTGAAGAAACCTTCAAAGAGGAAATGTTGTTGCCTCGGGATATTTCACTTGATTACCAAACACAATGTTCCACCATTTGAATAACGTCCGTGAGAAAGTGACTGTAGTCGAGATGCCAAGTTAGAATCGATTACATTGCAGTGAATTTCGTCAAGAACCTCGAGATCAACAGCACGGACATCTGACCAGATATGGCAACACTATACAGCGAACGGACGAATAGTAGATTTGTTATAGATATTTCATATCATCAAACAATCCTGCTGTTTCAGTTATCTCCTCTTGACCGTTTTTTGAAATTCTCCTTGAGATGTTCTTTGTTATTTACAAGTTCACGGATATTCTATATTGGGTGATGTGTTGTTTCCTCAAAGTTCGTCAGCCATTACTTCGCGAAGCACTTAGTCAAGAACATGAATGTTGACAGCCAATAAATTGTGATTCTTACAATTTCTTTTAAGCAAATAGTCTTTGAAACTGAATGACAATCCCATTCTTGCATCGAGTATTCACATTCGTCTTAAGCTCTTCCATAAATTTTATTTATCCAGAACAGTTGTTATTCATTTGAAAGTAGTATTCGCTTTTCAATTTGGTAGATATCAAGATCCTAACTTAACTTCTCTTCTTTTATTCTTCAAAACAAGCCTTTGATATTCTTGGTCATGAATTCGTTAACGATCAAAATGCAATGACGTATTTCGAAGTGTAATGTTTTCTTCATTTCTTCGTTAAGTTTACCAGTTTCGTTAATACTGAATCTTTAAATACCAGATCGAGAATGTGTCCGAACGTCGATCGCTACTTGAGATAACTGCTGACAAATATTTTATGCTTTGCTGGTTGATTATTTTGAAGTTACCAATTCGGATGCAGTCTTACTGTTGCTATACTTCTTACTTTTTCTTGTGGGTTGTTATTAAGAACTTTCGAACTCTTCATATTTACTCTCAGATTGGTTCTCTGATTCAGTCTTTTATTCAGTCTTTGGTTCAGTATCCGATTCAGTCTCTGGTTGGGTCTCTGATTCAGTCTCTGGTTGGGTCTCTGATTCAGTCTTTGATTCAGTCTTTGATTCAGTCTCTGATTCAGTCTCTGATTGGATCTATAATTCAGTCTTTGACTCACTCTTTGATTCAATCTCTAATTCAGTCTTTGATTCAGTCTTTGATTCAGTCTCTAATTCAGTCTTTGATTCAGTCTCTGATTCAATCTCAGATTGGGTCTCTGATTCAGTCTTTGATTCAGTCACATATTGGGTCTCTTATTCAGTCTATGATTCAGTCTCTGATTCAGTCTTTGATTCAGTCTCTGATTCAGTCTCATATTGGGTCTTTGATTCAGTCTATGATTCAGTCTCTGATTCAGTCTTTGATTCAGTCACATATTGGGTCTCTTATTCAGTCTATGATTCAGTCTCTGATTCAGTCTTTGATTCAGTCTCTGATTCAGTCTCATATTGGGTCTTTGATTCAGTCTATGATTCAGTCTCTGATTCAGTCTCTTGATTCAGTCACATATTGGGTCTCTTATTCAGTCTATGATTCAGTCTCTGATTCAGTCTTTGATTCAGTCTCTGATTCAGTCTCATATTGTCTCTGATTCTTTGATTCAGTCTATGATTCAGTCTCATATTGGGTCTTTCAGTCTCTGATTCAGTCTTTGATTCAGTCACATATTGGGTCTCTTATTCAGTCTATGATTCAGTCTCTGATTCAGTCTTTGATTCAGTCTCTGATTCAGTCTTATATTGGGTCTTTGATTCAGTCTATGATTCAGTCTCTGATTCAGTCTTTGATTTAGTCTCAGATTGGGTCTCTTATTCAGTCTTTGATTCAATCTCTGATTCAGTCTTTGATTCAGTCACATATTGGTCTCTGATTCAGTCTCATATTGGGTCTTTGATTCAGTCTATGATTCAGTCTCTGATTCAGTCTTTGATTCAGTCACATATTGGGTCTCTTATTCAGTCTATGATTCAGTCTCTGATTCAGTCTTTGATTCAGTCTCTGATTCAGTCTCATTTTGGTCTTTGATTCAGTCTATGATTCAGTCTCTGATTCAGTCTTTGATTCAGTCTCAGATTGGGTCTCTTATTCAGTCTTTGATTCTTTGATTCAGTCTCTGATTCATTGGGTCTCTGATTCAGTCTTTGATTCAGTCTCTGATTCAGTCTCATATTGGGTCTTTGATTCATTCTATGATTCAGTCTCTGATTCAGTCTTTGATTCAGTCAAAGATTGGGTCTCTTATTCAGTCTTTGATTCAGTCTCTGATTCAGTCTTTGATTCAGTCACATATTGGGTCTTTTATTCAGTCTATGATTCAGTCTCTGATTCAGTCTTTGATACAGTCTCTGATTCAGTCTCATATTGGGTCTCTTATTCAGTCTATGATTCAGTCTCTGATTCAGTCTTTGATTCAGTCTCTGATTCAGTCTCATATTGGGTCTTTGATTCAGTCTATGATTCAGTCTCTGATTCAGTCTTTGATTCAGTCTCAGATTGGGTCTCTTATTCAGTCTTTGATTCAGTCTCTGATTCAGTCTTTGATTCAGTCTCTGATTCAGTCTCATATTGGGTCTTTGATTCAGTCTATGATTCAGTCTCTGATTCAGTCTTTGATTCAGTCTCAGATTGGGTCTCTTATTCAGTCTATGATTCAGTCTCTGATTCAGTCTTTGATTCAGTCTCTGATTCAGTCTCAGATTGGGTCTCTTATTCAGTCTATGATTCTATGATTCTCTGATTCAGTCTCTGATTCAGTCTCAATATTGGGTCTTTGATTCAGTCTTTGATTCATTCTGATTCAGTCTCTTTGATTCAGTCTATGATTCAGTCTCTGATTCAGTCTTTGATTCAGTCTCAGATTGGGTCTTTGATTCAGTCTATGATTCAGTCTCTGATTCAGTCTTTGATTCAG